GCACAATTGCACTCATTTCACACGCTAGCAAGGTTATGCTTAAAATTCTACAAGGCAGGCTTAAGCAGTATGTGGACCGAGAACTCCCAGAAGTGCAAGCTGGATTTAGAAGAGGCAGAGGAACCAGAGACCAAATTGCAAACATGCGCTGGATTATGGAGAAAGCTAGAGAGTTCCAGAAAGACATCTACTTCTGCTTCATTGACTATGCAAAAGCCTTTGACTGTGTCGACCACAGCAAACTATGGCAAGTTCTTAAAGAAATGGGAGTGCCTGATCACCTCATCTGTCTCCTGAGAAATCTCTATGTGGGACAAGAAGCTACAGTTAGAACTGGATATGGAACAACTGATTGGTTCAAAATTGGGAAAGCAGTACGACAAGGCTGTATATTGTCCCCCTGCTTATTTAACTTATATGCAGAATTCATCATGCGAAAGGCTGGGCTGGATGAATCCCAAGCCGGAATTAAGATCGCCGGAAGAAATATCAACAACCTCAGATATGCAGATGACACTACCTTGATGGCAGAAAGTGAGGAGGAATTAAAGAACCTTTTAATGAGGGTGAAAGAGGAGAGCGCAAAATATGGTCTGAAGCTCAACATCAAAAAAACGAAGATCATGGCCACTGGTCCCATCACCTCCTGGCAAATAGAAGGGGAAGAAATGGAGGCAGTGAGAGATTTTATTTTCTTGGGCTCCATGATCACTGCAGATGGTGACAGCAGCCACGAAATTAAAAGACGCCTGCTCCTTGGGAGAAAGGTGATGGCAAACCTAGACAGCATCTTAAAAAGCAGAGACATCACCTTACTAACAAAGGTCCGTATAGTTAAAGCCATGGTTTTCCCAGTAGTGATGTATGGAAGTGAGAGCTGGACCATAAAGAAGGCTGATCGCTGAAGAATTGATGCTTTTGAATTATGGTGCTGGAGGAGACTCTTGAAAGTCCCTAAGTTCCTGGGTGGCAGCTCCTCCCCACAGCTCCTGGATTTAGTAAAAGTTAGAATTAATTAAGGTTTGATTAAACTTGGCCAGACAGGGAAACCCTCTGGATTTAGTTTTGCCAGGGGTCGGCAAGGTTTACCGTCCATGGGCCGGATCACTCCCCTGGAGATCGTCCATGGGCCGGACTGGTCAGCATGACGTCAGAAATCGCGTCTGCACTTGTCCGCGGCGCCAGAAATCACTTCTGCACATACCCAGACGCCAAAAATCGTGCCTGCGCAGAAGCGATTTTCAGTGTCTGGATGTGCGCAGATGCGATTTCCGGTATCTGCACGGGCGGCTCAGTTCGGGGGCGGCTTGTGTGCTGGTAAAACCGTCTTCGTGGGCTGCATCCGGCCCATGGGCCGCACGTTGCCGACCCCTGAGTTATGCTAAAGAGTCACGGTGGCTAAGCAGAGCTGTCTGTCTGGGCCATTAAAGGTAAAGGTACCCCTGCCCGTACGGGCCAGTCTTGACAGACTCTAGGGTTGTGCGCCCATCTCACTCAAGAGGCCGGCGGCCAGCGCTGTCCGGAGACACTTCTGGGTCACGTGGCCAGCGTGACAAAGCTGCATCTGGCGAGCCAGAGCCGCACACGGAAACGCCGTTTACCTTCCCGCTAGTAAGCGGTCCCTATTTATCTACTTGCACCCGGGAGTGCTTTCGAACTGCTAGGTTGGCAGGCGCTGGGACCGAACAACGGGAGCGCACCCCGCCGCGGGGATTCGAACCGCCGACTTTTCGATCGGCAAGCCCTAGGCGCTGAGGCTTTTACCCACAGAGCCACCCGTGTCCCGGTCTGGGCCATTAGCAGGAGACAAAAGCCAGGGGTGGCCATTCAGGAAACCACTGGAGAACAAAGGGGAGTGGTGCCCCTTCTTGCTGGGTGCTAGTGGAAAGAGGAAAATGCATGGTTTAGGGCTTCAGCTTTGAAGGCCGTAGGCTTGGGGAGGTCCTTGGAGTTGGTTGGCAGCGAAAAGGAGTAGATGGGGCAGAGGTCCAAGTGAGCTGGGGATGACCAGCTGGAACAAAGAGACACAGAGGGTGGCTTTTTGCGGCCCTTTGAATGCAATGCTACCCTGAAGGGGGAAGCCAGACCCCCATAGGATGTGAAAAATCTGCTATCCCTCCACCTAGGTTCAGGTTGTATATAAACCAAATATCATTTAAAAAACCACCATGGCCTCTACTGTGCCTCATTTTGGAACTCCCTCCCTGCAGAAGCCAGACTGGCTCCTTCCTTGTCTGGCAGGTGACGCTTCCCACAAGAGGAGGTGGACTCTCCTTCCTTGGAGTTTTGTTTTGAAGCAGAGATTGGATGGCCGTCTGTCATGGAAGCTTTAGCCTAGATGCTTGCATTGTGGGGGACTGGACTAGATGACACTTGGACACCTTCCAGCTCTAAGATTCTATGGTTCTATTATTTATATTGCTTTCATTTCATTTTTTTATCTTAGGTTTTTTTTGTGGGGGGGAGGGACTAAGATCATGGCCACTGGTCTCATCACCTCCTGGCAAATAGAAGTGGAAGAAATGGAGGCAGTAAGAGATCGCCCAGTCTCAAATTTACCATGGGCAAGGTGATTGAGCGAGTGGTTGCTAAACAACTCCAAGCACGCCTGGAGGATGCGGACCATTTGGATCCCTTCCAATCGGGATTCAGGCCTCACCATGGGACTGAAACTGCCTTGGTCGCGCTGGTTGATGATCTCCGGCGGCCTAGGGACAAAGGTGAGAGCTGGGGGCACTGTTATACGGTGGTTCCGCTCCTTTCTCCTGGGCCGTGTCCAGAAAGTGGTGGTGGGGGATGAGTGTTCAGACCCCTGGGCTCTCATTTGTGGGGTGCCTCAGGTTCCCGTCCTCTTCCCCATGCTTTTAATATTTATATGAAGCCGCTGGGAGAGATCATCAGGGGGTTTGGGCTGGGTGTTCATCAGTATTCAGATGACACCCAGCTCTACCTCTCCTTTAAATCAGAACCAGTGAAGGCGGTGAAGGTCCTGTGTGAGTGCCTGGAGGCGGTTGGAGGATGGATGGTGGCTAACAGATTGAGGTTGAATCCTGACAAGACAGAAGTACTGTTTTGGGGGGATAGGGGGCGGGCGGGTGTGGGGGATTCCCTGGTCCTGAATGGGGTAACTGTGCCCCTGAAGGACCAGGTGCGCAGCCTGGGAGTCATTTTAGACTCACAGCTGTCCATGGAGGCACAGGTTAACTCTGTGTCCAGGGCAGCTGTCTACCAGCTCCACCTGGTACGCAGGCTAAGACCCTACCTGCCCGCGGACTGTCTTGCCAGAGTGGTGCATGCTCTAGTTATCTCCCGCTTGGACTACTGCAACGTGCTCTACGTGGGGCTACCTTTGAAGGTGACCCGGAAACTGCAATTAATCCAGAATGCGGCAGCTAGACTGGTGACTGGGAGTGGCCGCCGGGACCACATAACACCGGTTCTGAGAGATCTGCATTGGCTCCCAGTATGTTTCCGAGCACAATTCAAAGTGTTGGTGCTGACCTTTAAAGCCCTAAACGGCCTCGGTCCTGTATACCTGAAGGAGCGTCTCCACCCCCATCGTTCAGCCCGGACACTGAGATCCAGCGCCGAGGGCCTTCTGGCGGTTCCCTCATTGCGAGAAGTAAGGTTACAGGGAACCAGGCAGAGGGCCTTCTCGGTAGTGGCGCCTGCCCTGTGGAACGCCCTCCCATCAGATGTCAACGCAATAAACAACTATTTTACTATTAAAAGACAACTGAAGGCAGCCCTCTTTAGGGAAGTTTTTAATGTCTGATGCTGTACTGTTTTTAATATTCAGTTGGAAGCCACCCAGAGTGGCTGGGGAAACCCAGCCAGATGGGCGGGGTATAAATAATAAATTATTATTATTAATTATTTATTATTATTATTATTATTATTATTATTATTATTATTATTATTATTATACTTTCTTGGGCTCCATGATCACTGCAGATGGTGACAGCAGTCACGAAATTAAAAGACGCCTGCTTCTTGGGAGAAAAGCAATGACAAACCTAGACAGCATCTTAAAAAGCAGAGACATCACCTTGCCAACAAAGGTCCGTATAGTTAAAGCCATGGTTTTCCCAGTAGTGATGTATGGAAATGAGAGCTGGACCATAAAGAAGGCTGATCGCCGAAGAATGGATGCTTTTGAGACTCTTGAGAGTCCCATGGACTGCAAGAAGATCAAACCTCTCCATTCTGAAGGAAATCAGCCCTGAGTGCTCACTGGAAGGACAGATCCTGAAGCTGAGGCTCCAAGACTTTGGCCACCTCATGAGAAGAGAAGACTCCCTGGAAAAGACCCTGATGCTGGGAAAGATGGAGGGCAGAAGGAGAAGGGGACGGCAGAGGACGAGATGGTTGGACAGTGTTCTTGAAAGCTACCAGCATGAGTTTGACCAAACTGCGGGAGGCAGTGGAAGACAGAAGTGCCTGGCGTGCTCTGGTCCAGGGGGTCACGAAGAGTCGGACACGACTAAACGACTAAACAACAACAAAGTCCTGAGTGGGAAAGAACAGAAACTCTTTCTACGACTTCACTTTATTTTGGAATGCAGGCATCTGGAGGCGTCTCAGCGCCAGTGCGCTAAAAAATATTAAGAATAAATTCGTAGATTTCTCAGTTGTTGCCTAACCCTTCTGCGTTGGGAGAGCTAGCACGGGTCTGACTGAACCCAGAAGTTAAATGCCAGTGTGAGTCTAATTATTAGATCTATGGCTGCCCTTTGCTCGGCTCTCGTTTGACTCGCAATGAGTTCGCTTTCAAAAGGCGAACTGGAGGCCCCGGATGTCGACATAGCTTTTTATTCCCGCCCTCTCACGCACGTGCTTCCGAGGGCGTGGCTGATTGGCTGCATGGTCAGGGAAGAGGAGCGCTCCGCTCGACCTGCCTGATGATTGGGCAGAGGCTGTTGCTGAGGTCGTCGCTGATTGGTTACATGGCCCAACCTGCCTGCTGATTGGGCGGAGGCGGTTTCCGTTGGTGCGTTTGGGGTGGGGGAGGGGAGGAGGCCGAGCGGCAACATGGCGGCAGCGGCGGCGAGAGCCGTGCGGTCCGTGTGGCGCCTGGCGGGGCTGCCGGGGCGAGGCGCCTTTCTCGTTCCACAGCACCCGCAGCGGTAAGGCGGCAAAGGCGGCGGGACTTCGCCCTGGGGGAAGGGCCGGGAGGGCTCCGCGTGCCTGAGGCGACGAGGCAGGAGGCGGGAAGCCGGGCCCACAGCCCGACGGTTCCCCCGTATCCCCCCCCCCCGTCCCGGAATCTGTTTTCATTTATTTTACATATTTTCCGTTCGTCGCATTTAATGCCTCGTTTCCCTCCAAGGGACTTAAGGTCGTTCTCTCCCCGCTCCACAACCGCCCTGTGAGGCAGGCTGGGCAGAGAGGAGGCAGCTCCTGGCCCCCAAGGTCACCCCCAGGGAGCTTCACCAGCCCAGGGGCGGAATTTGAAGCGTGGTCTCGCTCAGATCCTACTCCATCACGTCACGCAGCCTGTCTTACTCCGGGAGGAGGTATCTTTCCCGGTTTAGTTCCTCTGCGTGGACGGGGCGAATGGCTGCTATTTACCGCCCCCCCCCAACCTTTTCTCTCTTTTTTTCTTTAGACAGTCGAATACTTTCAGATTCACCTTTGGCCGGTGCTTAGGGCAGCATTAAAAAGCTTTTCAATACCCGATCCACCTTAATAGCAAATGACTTGATTCCTTTTGAGCAGGGATTGTCTGCCTTGCACGTGCCAACGGGACGTTTTTGAAACCAACGTGGGCAATAGAGGGTATTGGTTCACTTAAATATGCTGATACTCTAGAGCAGAGCTCACCAACCCCCGGTGAAACATAAAGGAGGGACAGTATGTCTCTCATCCTGTATTTTATCTTCTATTTTTATCTTGTGATCTTTGGATGAAGGGTGGTATATAAATATAATAATTTTTCAGAGAAGATTTGGGGATAAGAGGTGGCAATGTGCTGGTGGCCTCTTGTACTCAGTCTTAAAAGGTTGCTTTGAGTTTTACTGAACCTGATATTGTTTCAGGACTTCTCAGCTGCTTTGCATAGTGACACAGGAGAAAGGCACTGGACCAAACTTGGAAGAAGAGCCAAACCAGACTCAACATGAACAAAAATCTGTTACTGGCTCTGCTGAAAAGATGTTAATAGAGGAAAAGGCCAAACTAGAAGAACAATTAAAAGAAATCACTGTAAGACTCCTTTTGGTTTATATATTTGTACAGCCCTCAAACAGCAGATAGATAGGATGTGCATATTACTTTTCAGTAGTTTCCTTTAGCAATTGGGTCTTGAAAGTGCTAGCGTCAGAAAAGTGAGAATGTATATATAACTGAAATGTCTTGAGACTACCTGAGCTCTGTACATGTCATTAATTTCCCCCCACTGGTGAACTAAAGTTGGATTTCATCTTTGTCTAAAAAGGGAATGGTTAGGTTTTTGCCATATATCTAGTTAATAAAAAAGAGGAATAGGACTTTTATCTTGTTTACTTAAATGGGCCCTGGTGCCACAAAAATAGGAGTGTCTCATGGTTTGCTGATCTTGCTCTTAATATTGCCAGATAATTGTAGGATTTAACAGCATAGCAATATCTCTCCCTTTATATTTCTGTCTTGCTTTTAACCATTATCCCCTCACTTGTGGGTCACAACATTTATAAAGTTCTATTAAAAACCTGACACATCACAAATTCAATGTATCATTTGGAGGAAAAGACAGCTCTTTTGATCCAGGAGCACAGTTATCCTGGGAGTTTTTTACATAGGCAGTTGGTTTTACATTTCCACTGTTTATTTTCCCCCTTGTCCAGGACAAGTATAAACGTGCCCTGGCAGATGCAGAAAATCTACGACAAAGAACTCAGAAATTGGTAGAAGAAGCAAAGTTATATGGTAGGTATAAGCTATATTTGTTGTTACTAGCACTAGAACACCGCATTAAACATAAATAAAAACTTAAGCTTGGAAATTCCAAAATGGAACTTCTACTCAGCTCATATGCTGTGCTGCTTCAAGAGATCTAGATACATACTTTTTCAGCTGGTACTTTGAATCAGTGAACATGATTCTTGTTTGGTTAGTAAGCATGAGAGAAAATATACAAGTGAGAGCAAGAACCCCTGTGGGCCGTTTTTGTGATCAATGTGACATCATCATGACACCAGGTAAAGCATTTCCCTTTGCACATGTGGTCTGAAGTCAAAAACAGTGCAGGCAAAGGCTTGGGTTTGCAGGTGCTGATGATCAGTTGATTGGTGGCACCTGGAAACCCTGCTTCCATTGCCCGGTTGATTTGAAGTCATACTTCACAGCACACAGGTAAACTGCAGTTTCACTTCTCCCACACTACTCCAAAGTCATATATGTCAGGTGTGTGTGACTTGGGAAGCTGGCCTTAGATGCAAAATTAGGACCTCCGCTGAGCCATCATAGGGATGCCAGGCTGGAAATTCACCAATGATCTTGACTATAGGAAAAAGAATTCCACAAGGTGGAGATTTTTGCAGCTTGAATTGCTTACTGCTTTGCCAAATACCCCTTTCAGTTAAATTTTCAAGAGATGACATTGGGTCATTGTACAGAACAGAAAAAATGCACGTTTATCATATACACTGGTACCTTATTAAAACTTAGGCTTGAGGGTGGTTGTGAAGAGTTAAGTTACTTATAATTTTCTAGCTATAAGTTTTATGCCCCCAATTCTACAAATGTATCCAAATATATTTTCATTAACATAAGGGTAAATCTGAATTTAATGGAGATTCAGTCGCACGTCATTTTTGGTATTGGTAATACTTGATAATTTATCTTTAACCATATACATGCCTAAGCTTTGAATCCTGGAATAAAATATAAAATTAATGGTGCCTTTCATTGTCTGATGAAATGTTGATGCATCTTTAAGGATTATCTGAAATTTTATTTGCTTTTCCTGTTTTAGGAATTCAGAGTTTCTGCAAAGATTTGCTGGAAGTTGCTGATGTTCTGGAAAAAGCAACTGAGAGTGTTCCCAGAGAAGAACTCAAGGATGAAAATCCACATCTCAAAAACCTTTACGAAGGTCTTGTCATGACTGAGGTTCAAATACAGAAAGTGTTCACCAAACATGGCTTGATGAAACTGAATCCTCTTGGAGCCAAGTTTGATCCCTATGAGCACGAAGCATTATTCCACGTTCCCATGGAAGGGAAAGAACCTGGCACTGTGGCTTTAGTATCCAAGGTGGGCTATAAGTTGCATGGCCGTACTTTGAGGCCTGCTTTAGTAGGTGTTGTAAAGGAACCTTAGCAGTCTAATCTTAGAGTGCCACAGAACCAATAGATGCCCAGATAAAGACTCACTAAACAGTGTGGGAGGCTAAACTAAATGGTGGAAGAAGCTTTAATACCAATGAAGCAATGTTGAAATGTGTTTTTAAAATGAATACCAATAATGTGGTGGGGAATGCAAAGTGAGTGGTATGAATTGCAAGCATGAGTCATCTGTGTCCCGTGAATAATATTATGGTGATTAATGAAAGGTATTCTGCATTGTAATTAGGCAATTTAGTAACAATAATGCAATGTAGATTGTTCAGAATGAAAATCTGATCTTTTCAGTGTCGTGTTCTGTGTACAAATTAGCATTTTTGCTTATTCTTTTATGAATACAGAGTTGGACACCAGCCTAGTACTAACTTAAATAGCTTCTGTTCCCATGGAAAGCATCAAATTGTATGTCACATAACACAAGTATTTGGTATAAGTGCTGTTAGCCTTTTCTAGACTTAGTTTAGTATTGAATCACACTGCACGACCTTGAAATGACAATTGATCTAGAGATGTATTGAGACTATTACAAAGAAAAGAATAGCAAGTTCATTTAGTAACTGCTTGCAGACACACAACCAAATTAAGTGTTTTAAGAGTTCACAGACATCAGCTAGTTTTCATTGAAACCAGAATTTTTTAATACCTGCCATTCCCTGCCTGCTTCATCGAAGTCCTCCGGCACATAGAAGAGTGCATGGGAGGTCTGAGGCAGTTGACCAATGTAAAATATGAGCACTTCATCTTCTGAATTCTCTATGATACATTGGGAACAGCTTGTTAGGGATTTTGTTTTCTGAATCCTGCCAGTTAACCTTAAGAATGCCAAATGATCCCTACTGGATCAAACCCAAGGCCTATGTAGTTCAGCATCCTGTTTCCCAAAGTTGCATACCAGATGCTTATAGGAAGTTTACAAGTGGGATGTGAGGACAGTCTCCTACTCCAGTTGTTCCCCAATGGCTGGTATTTGGAGACCTGGTGCTTCTGAGCCTTGAAGTAGCATATACCCACAGGTGGAGAACTGGATCCAGGGTGGGCCAAGATTGACAGGTGGGGCTGCCCACTTGTCAGTTACCTGACGTCAAATGTCCGGTTTCTGCCCACATGATTTTAAATGATACTTCAGACAAAACAGTCTGCAAAGTGCTTCTGACCAGCTGATCATCAGCACTTGTTCTGTACCTGACATCAGGCATGTCTGGTGTAGAGCAGGTGGGCATATTGTGGCCAAAGTGACCTCACTGGCAAAATGAGGAAAACTGGTGGCCTTAATTAGGCCTGTGGTCTGTGGCTTCCCTACCCTTGTATACAGCTGTTGTGACTGGTACTTACTCTGCATGAATTGGTCTAACCATCCTTTTAAATCCATCAAAGTTTGTGCCAGTATTACAGATACTGCAAATGTACAATGATCACATTTCCACTTTCTTCATGCGTAATTTCTTACAATGTTTTCTTTTCTGTATTTGCATTGATTTCCACCAGATGCAAAGTCATCAGTTTTGCAATATTTGATCCCAATATTTGGGATGATGATTGATCCCAGCAAGGATTAATGTACAAATATTTTTACATTGGTCAACAGATAATTAGGAAGGTGCATGCTTATTCGCTTTGCAAACAAAATGGCAAACTTATTTTTAAAAATGTTTAAATAATCTGACGTAGGCAGGTTACATCCATGCTTGTCTTCAGGCCTGAGCCTTGTAGCACCACCTGCTCCTAGACTAGGGATAGGGAACATTTTGCTCCAACAGGCTTTCTCTCTCCATCCCTGCAGGCCAAGTTCAACAAGCAGATGAAAAGAAGCTTCCTAAAAATTTTACTCCTGCATTTTTGGGGTCTTGCCTATAAACAAACTGTCCAGAACAACCATTGCTTTTTTTTCTGGCAGTACTCAAGGGTATGCAGCACTGGCACCTCCCCCCCCCCTTAAAAAAAAGCACTGAGAACAACACGCTCAACTTTTTATTCCTGTTTTGGTTTTACTTTTTAAGCTGCAGATTTGGTAAATGGGTAAAATCCATTATCTATTTTTAGTGACAAAACTTTTTTATTAACTTAGGTTGATGACTTGTACCAGTCTCCTGAACTATACAGCATAAGTTGTTTTGTTAAGGGGGAGGGGAGTAGTTTTCCAGTTAATGAGTTTGATTTGGATAGTGGATAAACTTGCAAAGGAAAAATGTCACTAGTAAGTACTGGATGGTGATTTACAGTGACAGGCCTTTTTAATTGTTCACTTCTTGAGCAAGCAAGCCCCAGTGCTGAAGTATCAAACCAAGGAAACAAGTGAGTTAGCAATGAAGCAACTAGAGGGTAAGTATCACCACATACTTTTAATTCAAGTACCTTAAACTAATAGGAGCTAAATCCTAGGGATGGAAAGTCTGTAGATAATCTAGTTTCATCTCTTCCTGTTAACTGGAATTGATTAAGCCCACGAGTTGAGCTACATTTCTTTCTGTATTGTGCTTTTTCTCCAAACAAGGTCTACTTTACCTAATTGGCTGCATCAACAGCTGGGGAAGCTTAGCCAGGGCAATAAATTTGGAACGATCTAATGGAGTGTTTTCCAAAAGTGAGAGGGAGCTTTAGTAATGAAACAGTTATACAGTGGTACCTTGGGTTACATACGCTTCAGGTTACATACGCTTCAGGTTACAGACTCCGCTAACCCAGAAATATTGCTTCAGGTAATACGGACCTCCAGAACGAAGTAAGTACTTAACCTGAGGTATCACTGTAGTAAGAAAGCAAGTTAAGCAGTAGGGTGAGGTCGACACAGTGAAGAGGTCATGGCAGATTGCTCTGTCACTCTCCTTAGTGACCTAACAAAACCCAAGCTCCCAAGTAAACTACCTCAGTAAACAACAGCAACGGATATTCAGGTGGAGAGCCAGCAGGGTTGTGGGGGGGATATCCAGTGTGTCACAAGTGTGACAATGCATACTGCTTATCAGGAAAGGTACCATCCGGGCTAAGAGAAATGTAGTATAATTAATGAGCGATGTCAAGGAAACTTAGAAGCAAGGCGGCGTCCTTCAGAAAGTGGAAGTCTAATCCAAAAAAGAACAAGAGGGAACACAAACTTTGGCCAAAAAAATGCATGCAGATAAGGGATGCAAAAAAGAATTCAATACAGTGGTGCCTCGGGTTAAGTACTTAATTTGTTCCAGAGGTCCATTCTTAACCTGAAACTGTTCTTAACCTGAAGCACCACTTTAGCTAATGGGGCCTCCCGCTGCTGCTGCGCCACCGGAGCACGATTTCTGTTCTCATCCTGAAGCTAAATTCTTAACCCGAGGTACTATTTCTGGCTTAGAAGAGTCTGTAACCTGAAGCGTATGTAACCTGAAGCATATGTAACCCGAGGTACCACTGTAATCATATTGCTAAAAACTTGCAAAACTAACCACAGTTTTTAAAAAATGCATCAGAAGCAAGAAACCAGCTAGGGAGGTGTTTAGACCTTTGGATAACAAGAGAGTAAAAAGTGCTGAAGGAGAAAAAGGAGACTACAGAGAAGCTGAATGAAATATTTGCATCTGTTTTCAGAGAGATGTAGGGCAGACAAACCAAGGAAAATGATTACAAGATGCTTACGTTTTAAGCCTTATTAACAAATGAAAAATAAAAATAAATCACCAGGTGATCTAGTTCACATTGTGTACTTCGGACTTTTAAAAGCTTTTGCCAAAGTTCCTCACCAAGGATTCCTTGAGTAAGTTTAGCAGTCATGGAATAGGAAGGGTTATATTATGGATCAGTAACTAGTTAAGAAACAGGAAGCACGCTAGGAATCAATGGGTAGTTCTTCCAGTGGAGGAATGTAGAAAGTGAAGTCTCCCCGCCCCCAAAGATCAGTGTTGAGACATTTGCTTTTTAACTTGTTCATGTGTGATCTGGAGGTTGGGATGAGCAGTGCGGGAGCCAAATTTACTAATGATACTGAATTGTTCAAGAAGGCTAAAACAAAAAGAGATTGTGAGGAGCTCTGAAACCAGGTGAAAGACAGTTACGGTATATGGCAAATCCAGTTAAGTGTAAGCAAGTTTAAAGTGATGCACAATGGGGCAAAAATAAAATCCTAATTTTGAATATATGAGGTTGAGGTCTGAACTGGCAGTGACTAACTAGGAAAGAGATCTTGGCGTTGCAACAGATAGCTCATTGAACTCAATTTGTGGCGGCTGTGAAATGAATTCAGTCTTGGGCATCTTTAGGAAAGGGAGTGCCAATATAATAATTTATGAGGTGACCACATTTAGAGTACTGTGTGCAATTCTTACTGCCTCACCTAAAAGAGGACAGTGCAGAGCTAGAAAAGGGCAACCAAAATGATCAACTGCCCATCCTTTGAGGAAATGTTATGACATCTGGGGGTTTTTAGTAAGAAAAGGCAAGTAAGAGTGAGGGTATGACAGAGGTGTGTGAGATCACCCAGAGAAAGTGGATCAGGAGAGGATTTTCTTCCTCTTTCTATATCCAGGGTCATCTAATGAAGCTGAATCAGTTAACCAAAACTAAAAGCCAAGTCAAGCTTACCTGACATACACATCAGGGATTCAGGGCAGACAAAAGTACTTCTTCACAACAACTTAGTTATTTGCAGTTTGCTGCCACAAGATATAGTGATGGTCACCAACTTGGATGGCTTTAAAACGACTAGACAAATCCATGGAAGATGGAGCTATCAATTGCTACTAGCCTTGATGGCTATGTATGATCATCGTTGAATGCGGTATGCTTCTATACCGGTTGCTGGGAACCACAAAGTCGGGAAAGTGCATGACCTGATTGGTCGCTCTGAAAACAGCATCCTGAACTAGATGGGCCTTTGGTCTGACTCAGCAGGGCTCTTGTCTTAATTAGCTGTTGTTGTTTTTAAAAAACAACAGAACTCAGATTTGTGCATTGACTGGCCTTTTAAATGTCAGATTAGATATTGCCATGCTTTTAATTTGTCCTTTAGTTGACACTCGTGTCGTACTCTACTCCCAGATGCACCTGCAAAAATTCCTCATACAGCCAACTGGTTTCCAAAGTTCTGCTGATCTCCAAACATTCAAATACATGCTTGAAACTGTTGTGAAACCCTCTTGAAGCTGCTCGCTATTGTTATATGCTACTTGTTCTTTATAATAACTTTTGCACATTATGATGATCACAAAGACTGAATGTGTCTTTGTATATGAATAGGAATGCCCATCTAGGGCTAGCTGTAGTATGTGATAGATCACCCGCAACTATAATGGAGCATAGCCTCTACTTTTAAACATGAAAACATACAGCCCCAAATGATGATACAGGAAGGGAAATGTGTATGGACTTCTAGTTTTTCCAGCTGCTTGG